AGTTAGGAGACAGGTAAGTGGGTGTACCTCCGGTCGAACCAAAAGAGGTATTCTAGTGAGTAAAAGAAGGGACTGAGGGACTGTCCCCAGCAGCTGCTGAAGCACTTTTTGCTTCAGGGAACCCCTGCCTTCCTTCCCTCAACTATATGGATTGCTCCATGTTGGTCTATTTGAGAAAAAAGGATGCAGTAAAGGTGTCATACCTTGACTGTTCGGTAAGTTCCATCCCCTTTACCCGCACCGAAACCTTTCCCTTTGTGAAACCATCTTGTCCCTCTTCGTGGGGACATCTGTAGTACCAATGGTATAAAAGTCAGAGCGGGAGTTGGGCACTTGAAGGATTTTCCTGTCTGGTCTGTTTTAAAGGATCCCATCTGATCAGCCATGGTTCGGGAATCCCCTCTGGTTGTCTGTCTGTGTTTCTGTTTTGTTTCTATCAGTTACCGTCCCTTTTAAGACATGGCCAATACTGCACTGATTATACAGGTAGTCTCTTGGAAAAGATTGGCTGGCCAATTTAAAGGTTCCTATTTGTCGGACTTGGTTTTGGGGCTCCTCTCTGTTGTCTCTCTCTGTTTTTTTTTTTTTTTTTTTTGGTATGATCTTGCAATTGGAGCTGGTCTGTCAAAGATAAATTAAGTTAAAGCTTGTCTGAGATAATGTTTTATTGTAACGATCTGGCTTTTGAATAGCTTTCTGGATTACTGTACAATTTTGCAATTGAAGTTGGTTGGTCAAAGGTAAAGTTAAGTGGAAGAAATTTATACATGCAGGTCTGTGTTTTAAAGGTTCCTTCCTGACTGTCAGCCCTGGTTTTGGGATCCTCTCTTATCTATCTGTTTTTGAGGTTTTGTTTGTTTGTTTGTTTTGTCTGTTACTGGGCCCTCTAAGACATGGGGCACACTGCATTGATCTTAGTGGAGTCTCTAGAACACAGAGATCATGGCTGCATAGGCCACCTATAAGGATAAGCCTGACTATGAGAAAGAGGGTTTACTGTAACACAGCTTGACCTTTATATGGTTTTTCTGGATTATTATACAATTCTGAAGTTAATGTTAGTCTATCAGGGGTGAAGTCTATGAAAGAGATTCTGTATGCACAGGCATTTATGCAGTTCCATGATAAGGGGTCTGAACAGTCAGGAACTCATTCAAGGTGCCAAAATGCATTGCCTCTGGGTCACAAGGAGAGCAAGCAGCTCACCAGCCCTAAAATGGGAGGAAAGCTGCCTGGGCTATAGAAAAAATGGCCACAGAGAACCTGGCCTCTGCCCTGCCTCCCAGCCCCTTCAGCCTCTGTTGAGTGGAAGCTGATGGCCATAAATGATGTGGTTTCAGCACTATTAGTATATGACCTGGAGACAGGAACAGTCTCCCCTTTAGGATCTGACAGGATGCCCCATTTGGCCAGGGGATATCCATCACTGGGACAAAATGATTCAATGCCTTGGGAGACTGGCAAAATAAATAACTGCACCCAGAAAAGAAAAAGACAGAAACTACGGCCAACCTGTGTTTTTAGGCAGCCTCTGCAAAGGGATCTTCAAGGAAGCCTAAAGAAAAAATGGAAAGGATCTGCTGGGAGCCATTAGCCAAGTAGGTATGACAATTTCCTTGCCAGCGTACCCCATGTTGCAGTGACATTGAATGTAGGTGACCTTGCTCAAGGACCAAGGCGGATTAGGGCATTCCAGGTTTAGGTTCCAGGTTTAAGGTTTAAGATTATTCCTGCTGGGAATAGGGCGTATCCTGCTGCCTGAGTTCCCCTTGAGTTCTCACGGGATTTAGACAGTATTTTTTGGGAGACAGATGCCCAGTGGAGGATTTTGGGCAGAGAATGTGGATTTGGGCAGAGAACGTGGATTTCCCCAGAACGTGATTGTAGACGGCTGGTGTGAGTTCGGGAATAAAGAGTTGCTGTTTGAATCTACAAGCTGTGTGGTGGCTCGTGATTGTGTGCCCAGCCAGACTGCGGCATTTGTGCCCAGCCAGACTGCAGCAAGGATCTGCCCCATTGCTCATCAATACCTAGTATAAGGAAAAGGCCCCCAAAAAAGCCTCCCAACACAACTCTCAGTGGGGAACTCACTTAAAGCTGATGGCATTGTGATACTGATTACTAGAACAGCCTCAAAAATATCATGTCTTCCAACCCCTTGAATGTAACCTGACAGAAAAAAGATTAAGGCGCAATTTTGTATATGCTAGATTTTCCAACCCTCTCCTAAGAGGAAATCTGTTGTATAAAGTAAATGCACAGATAAAATTCACAAGGACTATTTCAGAATATGAATTTAAGAGAAAGATCCAAAAATAGAAGTTATAGGTATGGAAATATATTTTAGTACAGAAAATTAGAAGGTAAAAGAAATGTTTATGGATGCTAAAGTAATTTTTTCTGGTAAAGTAATATTCTTGGGCTAAAGTCAAAGATAAAAGAGGGCAAAACTAAGGATGCAAAGTTGTGAATGTCTAAGGAAGTTGCAGAAAATCTATGGAAGGTAAATCTCAAAAAGTTTGTGTTTGTGATTAAATTGGGTATAATTAGCTCAGTTGACGTTAATGTTCTGATATGAGGCAAAGTCTAAAACACTGATCTGCTCTTATCTATCAAGATAATTTTCTTGTACTTGTTGGGTTTTCTTTCTTGGGGAAACTAAGTCTTAAAGAAATTGGGGTTTGTACCTATTTGAAAGTCATAACTGATTACTTTGAAACTGGTTAAACAAACAACGGTTACTTAGGTTATGACAATATAGTAACACCCTAATATATGTCTCAGCCTTGTCTAAGTATTATATAAAAACTTATATAAGTTTACTGGTAAGATAACCAATAAGTGCTCTTCTCTTTTTATACATTGTATCTGACATAGAAGGGTCACACTGTCATTTGAAGACCTGTCTTGTATCTTTTTGTTTTGACTAAGTCTATTTCTGATCATTAACAGTTTCCTGAATGTGTAAGAGATTTAGGGGTCTCCTTTGATTTTTTGTTAACCTATGCAGACCTGTGATTACTGTTACCATACCAACACTCCTCAAATTATTCCATAAAATAGAAAAGGAAGGAACCCTTCCAAACTCATTCTATGAGGCTAATATCACCCTGATACCAAAACCAGATAAAGATACATCAAGGAAAGAAAACTTCAGACCAATATCCCTGATGAACAGAGACACAAAAAAACTCTCAATAAAATTCTGGCAAATTGAATACAAAAACATATTAAAAAGATAGTGTGCCATGATCAACTGGGGTACATCCTGGGAATGCAAGGTTGGTTCAACATACGGAAATCAATAAATGTTATTCATCACATCAATAGACTTAAATACAAGAATCATAGGATCATCTCAAAAGATGCAGAAAAAAAGCATTTGACAAAATACAGCACCTCTTCATGTTCAAAACACTAGAAAAACTAGGGATAACAGGAATACACCTCAATATTCTAAAAGCTCTCTATGCTAAGCCCAAGGCCAACATCATTCTAAACGGAGAAAAACTGAAAGCATTCCCCCTAAAAACTGGGACAAGACAGGGATACCCTCTTTTACCACTTCTATTCAAAACAGATTGCCAGAGCAATCAGACAGATGAAAGAAATTAAAGGGATACAAATAGAAGAACTCAAATTCACTATTTGCCAACTACATGATTCTATATTTAGAAGATGCACTCTGGATTATAAATTGTACTTTAAAAGTTGAAGTCAGTTAAAGTTACTTAAATGTAAAGCTTAGGAAAGCACTTTGCCAAGTTGGCGTTCTCCAAACTAAAATTATGTGCAGCAAAAGTGCCAAATTTATATTAAAAAAAAAAAATTGGTTGGTATTTATTCATGTCATTGGACGTTTTATAGCTGGATAAAGTAACCTGTTGTTAATAAGTTACATATACAATTTTGTCTTACTCGTCACAATAAAATTAATATTTAAATGCATTTTTGGAAAATAACAAAGACAGCCTGATCTGTTTAAAGGTGACATTGTAAAACATGGAAGTATTCTGCCATTTTTTTCCACAAAAAGAAGCTGAAAGCTCTCTTAGCCTTTCTTTGATTCATGTTTCAGATATAATGTTGTATTGTGCTATTTGTAAAGAGAGATAAGGCTCTGCCTCCATGTTAGAATGCTCGAAAATAAGCTAGACTTCAGCTCATTTAAAACTGTTTTCAAAAGATTGATTTCTGTTGTAAAGATGACTGATCTCAGACAGGGGATATAATGTATAAGTAAAAGTTCAAGATTATGAAAGTCATTTTTCTTGCTTCATAGCTATTACACAAACTGAATATGTTTTTGCTCTACTAATTTCATTTTGTATTTTCCTTGTAAACTTTGTAACTGATGCCTATTACTGTTTCACACAGGTACTGCTTCTAAAAAAACAACAACCTGGGTTAATTTGTGATAATAAGTCATTACCTACAGGATAAATAGCATATAATGCTGACTTCCAGTACTAATACTGACCCCAATTAAAAGAAAGGAATAACTGTAAAATTATAGATATTGAAGTTATAATCTATTACTCCCTCTTTAAGACTGGCGAAACTGACTTGCTGAGTGTTTAAAACCCAAAATTTGGAAAACAAAAGTCAAGGAAGTAAAAAGAAGCCAACATTTTGGCTCTTGCCCTCTAAGGTGGGCCAGGACCCAGAAAACAACAGGACCCCTCCTGGATCCTGCAACTCCAGCTTTCAGCAACAATTTCACATGCAGTTCTTAATTCTCATTCATAGTTTTCTCACTTTTTCTCTCTCTCTCTCTTTTTTTTTTTTTTTGTTCCTGGGGACTGAACTCTGGGGCACTGGACCACTGAGCCACATCCACTATAAGCAATGTAGGTGTCCATGGCCTACAGACTAATATTTAGGATGCTGGTTATGTTCTAAAATATGAGATGCTTAATTCTAAAAATTTACTTAGTTAACTTCCTATTTCACTCATCTATGTATAATTCATTTAATCCCACAAAAATCATACAACTTACTCCCTTGGCTTTGTGCTCACAAGAACTCTTAGAGGCTTTCTGCTGTTTAAGCATGATTTCAAGAAGCAATCCACTTCATTGAAAGGTCTCATAAAAACCAGGTCACCATTAATAGCAAAAATCTTTTTCCCAACTTCCATGCCAGCCATCTAAAACAGAAATCACACACACACAAAAAAAAAAAAAAAAAAAAAAATTATAATTCAAACAGTGACTTAATAAGAAATCTGTTTTCACAGAACTAGAATCTGAAAAATTCAGACCTTACACACTTTGGCATTTTAAACACATCTGTAATGTTTTTTGCAAATTCACAGAATGGATAAAATAACACAGTTATCATTTTTGAGGGCCTAGTTTTGAATTTGATTATAAAGCTTCAGTGAAATTCTCATCCATTCCTCCTTGAATTGACATTGTACTCCTCTTACTCCCTTTTTCTATTGTATAAAGAAGTCCTTTTAAAATTTCACCCTTTAAAACTATATTCAAACCCCAAGTTAATTTTTTTTTTATACTAAGAGAGTTTCAATCCTTGCTGTGTGTGTATATCTACCGACATATCAATGACACTCAATGGGCATTACTGACATTACTGAGACCCTGGCAAAAGGACCTGAGTATCCACCCCTCCCTCCCTTCCTGCTTTTCAGGGCAGCTATGGAAAATAAGGAGATGTACCCCATGGGCAGCTTCTCTCAGGGCTTTTGGTCCTATAGGAAAAATGGGAGGAGGAGGGAACTTGAGAAGAAAGGAAATCTAGATTCTATCAAAGGGTCAAGACAGCCTCACTCCCTCAGGCACCAGCTCTGGACTCCCTCCTCTGTGGACTCTGGACTGTCTCTCCATTCTGTCCTTTAAAGAAAACTGAATAGGACCAGATACTGATTTTCAAGACCAGTTTCATTAGCATCAGAGTCTCCAGCAGAGCAGAGGAGTGGGCAAGAGAGCTCCAGTAATCAGAGGTGTCAACAGTGCAAGATTCTGAGAGGGGACAAGGAAGACAACACCCCTCCAAGCCAACCAGAAGCTTTTCTTATCCAACCTACTACCCATAAACTCCCTGCTGCTTTTGGCAGCCTATTTGCAGAAGCCAGAATTAGACCAGGCAGATTGGCAAGGGTCAGATCCAGAGAATGGAGGAATTGAAATGTTAATTCCTTCAGAGCCCCTCCTCCACCCTTATCAAGAACCTGCCCCTGCTCCAACCTGTTGCTAAGGTAACCAGTCCCAGGAATTGTCCTTCCCTACAGGGAGTTGTAAAAGTTGCTAATTAACTCACCCTGGGCCCCCTTCCTGCCTGGATCACTCTTCCCAGGCCCCTCCAGCCCACCTGTTTCCCACCTTTTGGCCATCCCACCCAGCATTTCCTGCACCTAGTCTTAGCAGGGAGGAGAGAGATAAGGGGGGAAGGGAGCAGGGTAACAAAGGAAGCCTAGGACATATTAAAAAAAAAAAAAAGGCAAAACCCCTCACTTCCTGGGATACTAGGATACCAGCTATGGCCCGCTTCTCCCTCCTGGGAGAAGTCTACATTACTCCTTTCTAAATAAACCCTGCTTTATATGCTTGCCTCAGAGTGCTTCTCTAATGTTGTACTTCTACATGTGAGGGAGCAGATAACCAGCAGTATCACTGGGAGAGGGCATTCATTTGTGTCACAGCAGATGAAGCTGGGCTGTCCAAAGCATCTGTTCAAAATGCCTGGGAAAACATCTCCTTGCGTGCATTTGTTGGCCAGGTCCATCAATGACATATAAGTTGACCAGAGTTACTTTGTTTGACATTAATGTGCTGTACCTAAAGCTTTATCTTGCATGAATTTGTGTTTTGGTAAAAGCAGAGACCTTGAACATTAACAGCTAGGAGGGATGGCGGACAAGTTACCATCTATTTTAAATACATTCAAAGTTAAAAGTTTTATTTCATTAATTCTCACATTCTTTATTGAGATCTGAGTATTCTGTCTGTTTCATTCATTGCTGTATTCTCACAGTTGAGAACACTATCAAGCATATAACAGCTATTAAATAAATATTCCTGAATGAAGACATGAATTATTAGGGATTCCTCTGTTTAAAACCCTGGTGAAATGAGAGACTGACAATCAGCATTAATTCAATGAGAAAATAAATCAAAGCATGTACTTTGAATGATGAAAGATATATTCATAGAAAAGATAAAGGGGGTAGGTAAATAGAAGATACAGCCCTTGATTGAAGAGAAGAGGCACACATAAATGGTACAGGCACTATGCTGTCTCCATAAGTGTCCAGTTGGAATTTGTGATTAGAGAGGCCCAGGGACATAAGAGGAGCCAAGGTGTTTGGCCTCCCAAGAAGTCAAGAAGTTCAGAGGAATACCACCACCTCCCTGTCCCCAATATCTCTGAATACATAGGTAGGAGTTCAGCAGCCACTAATCTCAAGGGTATTTGGTAGAACCTGAAAACAAGACCATGCAAAGACATTTGTCTTTGCTAAGGATACTTATAAGGTTGATTTCAATTTGTTTGAAACTTTTATGTTTGTCTATCATGACAACAATTTTAAATAAAAATGCTACTATACATTACCTCAGCATTAGACCCCTTTTCTACCAATTTTATTATTGGAACTTTATTTCTGTCTTCTAGCCCAAAGCCATAACTGCCATCATTAGATTTAATCTGAAATACAAAATAATAACATTATTGATGAAAAATTAAAATTAAAACAGAATAAAGGCATATGCATCACCACCAAAATGTTTATGCAGTCTTCTGCTACTGTCTAATCAAGAAGGCTTAACATATTAACTAACTTACCAAGAGTGACTTGGCTATAACATTTTCCACAACTTTTAAATCATGTTTCATAAGTCGATGTTTCATATTTGATCCTTCCATTTCCTCATCCGCAAAAAAACGGAAAAGTAGGGGCTCATCTTTGAATTCACTTTTTTCCAGGACTACACAAACAGAAAGATTTAAATTGTTTCAATTAATTAAAAAGTCAAATTTTCCACACCTGTAGACATTAGGTAAATAAAATATCTGCCCACAATCTCAACTTTATATTTCTAGGACAAATGACACAAATATCCCTCAGATTTTTTTTCTATTTCTTTCTATAATTTCAAATCAATGTTTCCTCTAAATTGCTGTTACCTAAAGGATTATGGATTTTTAAAATAATTATTTTTCCAATGTTAGCTTCTTTTCTACTTAACCAAGTCTGTCATTGATCAGATTAAAATCCAAACTTAAGTAAAAGATTTTAATAAATCCTAACATGCACTGCAATGCAAACTTAGAAACCTGTGGTGTTCTCAACTCATAGTAAACATTTTATGTATGTTTTTAATATCTTGCACAATTATGGAAAATTCAAATAGGTGAAGGGTTGCCTTGCATATGTGAGCAAGTCCCATGTGTCACTTTTCTTCTAAGACTTCAAGCATAAACATGCTTTCTGGGTGAAATGTGATCTTTGTTTCCACATAGTTCTTTTCTGTTTAAAAGCAATATTCAGCCAGGTGGGGTGGAGCACACAGCTCAGGAGGCTGAGACAGGAGGATGGCCATCCTCAGCAAAAGTGAGGCTCTAAGCAACTCAATGAGACATTGTCTTTAAATAAAATACAGAATAGGGCTGGGGATGTGAAAGGAAAGCCAGGAACTAGGAGACAGATGAGCGAGAAATAAAAGATGGAGAGTAGGCAGAGATACAACAGATTGTTTATTTGTCAGAGTTGACAAATAAAGGCACATCTCTCCATAGGTGGAGAGAAGCAAAACAGGCTTGGGGTTCAGGACTTTTATGGGGCAGGCTCAGGGACCTGCCTAGTCCCAATGTAGCCATTAAGGGTGAGGTTGGTATCAGGGAGTGGTGAGCCTTTCTCAGAAATGCCCTTGGGAGGGAAAGTGAAATTTCTCTTAGAATGGTGGCTGTCATTTAAAATAGCCATCCAGATGTATGTAAAGACCTTACAGATGTCATTCAGTGGTTGAGTCCCCTGAGTTCAATCCCCGGTACAACCCCAAAATTGCAATGTTCTCCAATAATCTCATTTCTGCCAAGGTCAGTTTTCTCCCTTCTATCTGACCATTAACGTTTTCGCCCAAAGCCATGGACTGATGACATAAGGTTTATGTTTTGTTAGCCTTGTTTAAACAAAGTCTAAATACTAAAGAATTTGTACAGAATGAGATCCTGACATCTGTCAAAATGCTTTACATGAGAAATCTTCTATATTTATCACTCATTTATCCTTTGTACCTTGAAGTGTACTTCTTGGGACAAGTTGATTCATAGAACTAGGAGCTAAAGGGAAGACAGTGGTCTCAGGGCACAGTAGAAAGAATTATGTTTTGTGATGGATCAGTCCAGGTCTGGAACTGATTCTGGGTGTGACAATGAGAAAATTACTTAAACATTCCACATTTCAGTTTTCTCAGTCTGCAAAATGAGGGTAATAAAATCTTCACCATGTTGTATTAAACTAAAAGGAGGCGATCTACATAAATAACTTGGCAACTTGGTAAGCAATCCAAAAAGACCGCTATTTCATTTTATTATTTTTAAAGAGTTGACTAGATAGGGAGACTGTATTGATCTTTGAATGAAAGACTCACTGGCAACGTATCAACCATGACATAAAAGCAACACAAGCCAGGGTGAACAACAGAAATGATAACATATTTTAGATTAAATCTTGCCTAAATGAGCTAAGCAGAGTCGCAAAGCCCACATGAGGCTTCTGCTATAGCTGTTTTCATTCACCAAATAACCCATCAAAAGGAACAGGGGAAAGCATCAATATAGCCAGGCACGAGGCAAACTTGTTTCCCTTGTCAGTTATGGCTACTCTGTTGTAATACAATATTTTACAATAAATGTTTAGATGAATTTACTGCTTCCTGATGCTTTATGTTAAAATGAAGAATGAATCAAAACTTTGAGCATTTTCAACCTGATATTCTAGTTTAATTCCCTAAAATGTTATAATTTCTTCCATTAAATGGTTTGTTCTTCAGGGACTAGTGTTTCTCTTGAACAACCCACACAGTGATCTGTCTACACAGAGAAGAGATAGAAATCCCCAACTAACATGTGATAACCAAGGATGCTCTCAGAACTGCTAGGACTTTGGCTATATTTCCTTCATAAAGGTGTAACAACCTTCTGTAAATAACTGGCAAATGAATACAAGTGCTATGAAACATAGTTAGAAGCACAATACATTAATAATTGAAAGAAAAATGTTTCGAGTCCACAGATTCTAGAACCTAGTGTGAATCGAGAGGAAAAATCCAATTTTGTTTTGATAAATCCATGAACTTTATTTAAAAACTCTTGCTTGATGACTTTCAGCAAATCATCAAGCCATCAAACAAGAAAAAAATCAATCATTAATGGCCAAAAAGAAACATTTTCCCCAGAGATCTATAATTTAATTCCCTAAAGTGATTTTGAAAATACCCCCCCCCAAAAAATAACAATAAATATTCAGCCATATGTCATTTAATTAGTCTACTTTCCAGTATAATTTTTAAAAATATGAGTCTAATCTGAAACCAATTCAAAGAGGTACATGAGCAAACCAAAACTTCTAGCTCAAGCCATTGCTCTTCTGGAATTAGCATTGTCTAGAAAAATAAAAGTCATGGCAACTGGTAGATAACAGCAATTTGACACAGGAATGGCACCAGCAATGAAATGGATTGCAGATGTGGTGACTCAGCATGGACCCAGGGCAACACCCACACAGCCTTGCTGGTTCCTGTGGACATCACTAGAGTACTGAGATACTCCCAATGTCCTAAGAAAAACCAAAACAATGAAATACATCTGTAAGCTTCCAAGACAAAAATCCCTACCATGGTGCATAAATCCATTGTCACAGAGTCCAATGCCAAATATCATTGCCTCTTCTCTGGTACGGCAATCCCCCTGTTAACCAAAAAGTACTGTGTAAGTCAGAATCAACACAGGCTGTCCTGTATCTTATCACACCTCACACCCTTAGCACTATATTCAGGTAAAGTCATTCATATATTGCTGCATGCATTGTTTCCTAAGACAGAATGCATTCAACAGTTATTATATACATCCATTATTTCATAAGACAGAATGTATCCAACACTCATTTAATACAAAAACAGTTTCTTTTGACAATAAATAAAAATATTTAACATTTGCCGGGTAAAATTTTTATTAAATATGGAAATATATAAGTATATAATATTTGTTGCCTCTACACATAATCCCTGTTATTTCTTAGATACTGTATCATGGTTAAGGAACAGGAAAATAGCCTATAAAATGATGACACTCTAAATATAGGTAAGTAAAAACCATTTTGCATGATCTTGGCCAATCACTCTTCTCTTCTACCAAATGCATTTACTTTTGAGGCACTCTTAACACAGCCTATTAATCTCTGGTGACTTGTAAGACCTCAAAGTGTTTGGTCAAGCCAGCAAATGCAAGCTTTTCTTTTCACTATCTAGCCAAAAGAAATAATCACATCAAGCAACTAAACCCAACAAAACAGCCTAAACAATGTCTTAATATGGTTTTGATTTGGAAAACACGATTCTACTGATAAAGATCCGTCTACCTCTATGAACACATATCTTTGTAGATATATAATCTCATATTTATATGTTTTACAGTTTAAGAAACTTTTTCTCACATATTGTCTTATTTTTTTTCCCTAGCCTATTCTTTAGAACTTAGATCCTGGACCAATCCATTTTCTCTTCTTTATCGATTCTCTTTAATTTCTATTGTCAACACACTAATCTGACATTTGATTTTTCCTTGTACAAAGTATCAACTTTTTTCTGGATATTAACATATGCTATTATAGAACTCAACTTTTATACACAGGAATTTCATGTTCCAAAATTTTACATTTATATCAAAAATTTTATTATGCTTTCAAGACCTTCCATATCCTAGTTTTACTATCCCTCTCCAGATTCACATTACAAAGTTTAATACCCACAGCTCTCACACTAGTCAGCTCAGCCTCCCTGTGTGGCCTGAATTCTCTGTCATTTTCCTCTTGTTCATGCTTGCAATGCCCTTTCCTTTACCCTCCATTCATTTAAATTCTACCCATCTTGTGTGAAGAACCTAGGGTAAGTTTCACCTCATGCTGTGACAACTGCAACCCTGTTACCTCCCAAAGCATTTTTTGAATCTGTAATTTCAGACTATGCATCAGACCTCCTTTAAAAATCTAGCTCCTTGATAATTATAATGCATTCAAGTCAAAAGATTTTTTTCTGCATATTATGCCAAGTGCTAGAGATCAAATGTTAAAATATTCAAACATAAAAAATTTCCTTGCCTTCTAGTCATTTGAATCTACTGAAGAATTTGGTCACTTAGAATGTGGCACATAGTAAGGACTCTTATTCAATTATAATTAATATTCCTCATCAGGCAGATATACCCAGAGAACAAAGATACAGAAGAAATCCCTGAGCCCATGTCAGAGAACCCAGCAAGGCTTCCCAGGGGAGACAATGCTGGAATAATTAGCCCAGTTTCCAACAGCGCTTAAGGCAGAAACCATGCCTGCTTCCAGTTTTGTTGGTTTATTGTATTTTAATCATGAAAGCACTTGTTTAAATGTTAAGTTTACAGTAAGAGCTTGTTTAATACTCACTGACATTTGATTGTTTTATTTGATAAATTATTCAAATGTTACACAGGCCAGACAAATATTATATGGAACAGTGTAAAAAATATGATCTGAAATGTCTTGGCTTCCCTATGCCTTTTAAAAATCCTACTGGTGTCACATACATGTATGAGCATTAAAGAAAGGTACAACAAAATCTGCCTGAGTTTGATGAAACAAGGCATTATTTAATCAAAAATAGGAGTGATGCATACAGACAACACAACTTGCACCAAATGAAATAATGTATTATAAGTACACCAATGCCTTTGTCCAGTAAGGTGTTGACTTCATGGAATAAGATGCTTTATTATATACTATTATACTAGAAGCAACACAGCAGCAAGCAAGAAGAGTATTAGACAAAAACAATAGTCAGTCATCCAAAATGATATCATCCAAGATATTGAAGAAAACTACAAGATCTAGACTACATTCCAAACAACACATTTACAACCTTATTGAAATCAGCTCTTCATTCTGTTCTGCAGAGCTGTCCAAATCAATCCAGTCAATACTGGCCAATACTGGAAATGAAGTCTTACCATTTGAGAATCTTGGTAGAAAGAGACCTTTATTTTATTAAAATCTCTTCTTCATATAAGTTTTAAAAGTTTAACTTGTTCTCTTTTCATTTCATTAGTGTGCATTTATCTTCCAAGATAGCCCATAATATTCTAGTTGGAAGTTAATCAGTGAGTTAAGTATGTCTTATCCTTGAATTTGGATAAGATTTACAATATCAGAATCATAAAGCTTAATGATAGTTCAAAGATGCCAGGCACAGCTATCCCAGTATGTAGTAATCAGTTATAAAAACTATAATCCAGAGAGCTGGAATGACTTGCTCAAATTTGCACTAGTTATTAGCAGAGCATGCATCAATGATCAGGTTTTCTTAAGAGCCAAGTACAGTGCAATTTCTACAATTTCTAATATACACTACTACAGGCATTGTCAAAACAGACCATTATGAAAAACTTAAGGAAAAATGTAAGTTTGTCTTGGTCCAGTTTTCAAGTAACTTACTGTATTATTCTAATGCATAACACTGGAAAGTAAAAGAGAAAAAAAAAAGTTGATAGATGACTTCCTAAGTTAGAACTTTAAATATTTAATCAGTACCAATTTTTGCTTCAAATGAATTTCCTTCAATTTTCTCATTTAAGCAACATATTCTATGCGTTCACGTGAATTTTATAGTAGCATAATTAATGTAAAATTCTAACTCTATATACTGAATAAAGAATTGATTCCAGTGATGTGCGATGATCATAGTGTTATAAGAGGCAAAACCACTGGATACAGAAATTAGGGTTTTATCTGAAAGTAATCGTTCAGTCTCATCTAAAATATTAACATTTAAATGTAAAAGTCTGGGTGTCATTAAAAAAATAAGTAGTCCTGAAGAGTCTAAAAAAATATTAAACAGCTGGGGATATACGTCAGCTGGTAGAGTTCTTGCTTTGCATGCACAAAGCCCTGGGTCCAATCCCCAGCACAGAAAAAAATAAAATAAAAATAAAAATAATATTAAACAATAAAAATCTCAAATTACATGTGCAGAGATGAAGTGAATAGGGTTTAAATATTAATAATGAAACAAAAATAAATACTTTATGATGAAATACCAAATATTATCATCTACTTGTAACAAAGACAGAGACTTTCTTTAAAAACAAGAGTAAATCTGCTCATAAAATTGACTCAAATATCTAAGTGTAATAACAACATTTTGGATAAGCACTATCTTCCCTCCTAGATAATACTTCAGTTAAAAGGGTATCAGTTCTTTTAGCCTTTTTTTTAATCAGTGGAATATTTTCATTCACTTATTAACTGACCTAGTATGAAAAAATATCTAAATAAGTATTATATTTGAATCTTTTATGATGTGCTAGATGCTTTAATTTGTTTTACACTTAGAAGCAAATCATTTTCTCAACACAAGCTGTCAGCATCCAATTCTTGAGGAGCAGAGAAACAATAACAATAATAAAATCTGTACTTTGCTATTTAAAATATACACAGACATATTAAAACTCACATTACCAAAGCACAATTGTTATCTAATAGAGAAAAAGGCATAGGGAAACTAGAATCATTTGCAAGGACTAATTAAAAAGATACTTTAAAACAAACTAGTAAAAAAACATGCAAGAAAATTGTAGCAAGAATTTGATGATGCTCAAATTATGCTTAGTGTTTTTTGATCGATCTCAGCTGATATTTTTAAGATACAACATCATACTTTTAGACAAGACAACATAAAAGTTAAGTTTAAGGATTCTGAATTCAGAATATCTAAGTTCAAATTCTAACTTTGCTTCCTATTAGTGATATGATCACGGAAAAGATACTTCACTGTACCTCATCAGTAGGCATACATTAATTTTTTTAAAAGTACCTAAGTCACATGCTCAAAGTATAGAGCAGTAGTAAATGAAACTCAGCAACTTGTGTATTTACCTGTGCAATTAACCAGTCTATCAATTTGTTGGCCATGACAACAGATTTGTAGGTCCTTAAATGGTAATCTTTATCTCTACAAAGGAAAAAGAAACCATTCACATTTACATTGAGTAAATAATAAGTGAGCACAAGGAAATATTTTTCATTTGGTGTCAGTGTACAACACAAAAGTTTACCAATGTAATGAGAATCAATTGCCCATATTATGCACAAATGTACATGTTTGCAAAGTATGTACAATGCCTGAAAAAAATCCTTCATCATCTCATTCAAGGGGAAGAGAGACGGATTATGACACTGAAGCAGAACATCTTCTTATATACACATAGGCTACTAATGTTTTAATATCTAGTAATAATTTAGCTGGAAGTTATAACACCTCATAAATAAAGAAAAAATAAAACAGAACTTCTTCCTTTAAGTCACAGTAGGTTCTACTAAAAATTTCCTTAAAATGTGGAGAAGAAAGCAACACCCATTATTCCCACTTCTGTATTCTCCAAGAAGGAAGGGTTTGTATTACAAGACTATCCACAGGGCTCTCTGGTCCTGAAAACCCTGCAGGCCTGCCCTGAAGTAGACACCATGAGAACTTGTCACCTCTTCTGCCTGATCAGAGCACAGACACAGTGACACCAAAATTCCAGGGAAAAAGCAGCCCAATGGGCTCTCCACATCAGTTCAGTAGATTTCCCAGAACTGAGGGAAAAAAATCACTCAAAGTTCAGTTAGATACTAACAAAGTCTCATGATCAGGCCCAAGGGCAGAAATCTATAATTCATTCATTTTGCAGGCCTGAATCAAAAGGGAATGAGGAAATCATGGTCCTTTCAAAATGTCAAAAAAAAAAAAAAATGCAAACTGCAAAAGCTTAAAGTGTCTACTAATTACTAGCTCTATTCACTGTTTAGCCTCTGTCAGTAATTTACAATTAATATTTCCATCTTTTTACCCACTTGCATTAAAAAGCTCCCAGATACAGTTGAATTTATGAGATTTCAATATAAATAAACTAGGTCAGCCAGTAATCAACGGCAGCTTTTTCTTTTTTTAATCTTTTAAATCCACTTCCAAGTTTCTGATACCTTACTACCCATTTCATCTGGGTTTCCATAAGCATCAATAAGAAATAAAAGGGACAGTCTGTTATACAACACATGTAGACTTATGGTTAATATACCCATTTTTTCTCTGTGTAAGTTGAAGTCATACATATTAAAAGCATGACGAACATACATTCCCTCTGTATTATGGGTTTTGGTCCATTCAATTTTCCTTTGACAACTCATAAACAATTACCATTTCTAGCAGGAGAACAATTCTTTCTTATCAAGTCTTAGAGAATGTAGCCTTTTGGATAAGAAATCCCATATGGTTAAAATATATTTTCAGAACGTATTTCACACATATAAGATCAACATGCACACAGGTGACATGCCAAATTAAACCATTCCTATTTTCTACTTACTGAGCAGAAAAAAAAAATTAATTACCCAATTGCTATTAAGTACTAAGTATTAAGTTATTCAAAATATTTGAAGGGTATCCATAACAGGATCATGGAATAAAGTCAATAAATATTCATTCTTTTCATTTCTTTCTACTTTGTGAAGCCTGTTTGTAAAAGTGCACATAACATTTCCGGAATAAAGGATAAGATCCTGAGTTCTCCTGTAGGACCTGCATGCAGTGTGATTATGCAGTGTGAAAGGACACTCCACACACTTAAGACACAGCCTTCTGCAATCTCTCTTTCCTTCTCTCTCTTTTAGTTTTGCATTTCTTCGAATTGAAAATCAGAATGAAAAAATAGAAACACTGCACACATAAAACATTTGGATCCTGCAGCCAAGAATGAAAAGCATCTTTATTCATTTCAGAAATGGAGCACGCATTTCTGTTCTGAAAATATGATTTAGCTATTAAACTCCAAATAACATCTAGCCATCTAAAATAAATTTAACGTTCTATCAGTTAATGTATATTACCAAGCTTCAACAATATTCCTCACTATCTAATCTATTAGTAATCTTAATATAAAACTCTAGATCTTTGGCGAAGGCAAAAACAAAACTAATCCTAATTCCTCCTAAAAAAGAAGTCATATCTCTTCAGTAACAAAAACATATGAGAATAAAATTGAAAAGTCATATTTGGTAACTTCAAAGAAATTTTAAATTTTCAAATATAAAACTTATTATTAAGACTATTAGAAGGAACTACCATAAGATAAACTATATATCTATAGTTTATATATATATATATATATATATATATATATATGTATATAATTATTTATATATAATATATCATTATTTATATATATCATAATGATAAATTATACAATGTAATTAAAAGGGTTAAAATACAAGTAATCATAATGTTAAATATTCAGAGTTTATGGTATTTCCAAATTCTCCCCAGTTAACTATTATTTATTAATATTAACTGGGTGTGGATTATTCCATTTTCAAGTCTATAATTTACCAAGTAATAAAAGCAAAATAACTTTGGAAGTCACAATAAAAAAAGTGAAAGACATGGTATAGAGTCGCAGAAAAATTGAGGGATACTTTAAGATAAATAATTACTTAAAATACTAAATAAAGTAAAATTTCCACTTTCAGAAGAAGACAAAATAACCCAAGTTCTAACATGCAATATAAATATTTCTATTTAAGATTCCTGGAACATAGAAACCAGACTCACCTTATCACTGGGGTAAACAGACTATGAAGACGACAATACAATCTTACTCCCTGTGCAAAATAAAGAAATGTTAAAAGCAAGGGAGATGCCTCAAGAGACATGTCAATGCCATATTGAAAGAACAAGAAAATTCACTGTCAATATCCTGCAATCATTACACCAATTTCAACCAGTGTAAAAATCATCCCAATGTTATGATAAATCCAAACATATTATTTTAAATCATTAATAATAGGATTCAATTGTGCTATGAATTTATCATATACATGATATGCTCTACAAATACTTTTTGAAATTATTTTCCTTAAAGTATAAAATTTTTAAGACATAATTTCGATTGAAAGTAAATCTATATAGTAAATAAATCTGGAAGATGTGTTTACTATATGTCAATAAACATTGTGTCAAGTATAAAATTAAAACTGGCATTATATTTATTTTTATACCTATATTTCCTGAATTTATTCAAGTATAATTATTATGTTGCTACATGTAAAAACAATTTTCAATAGTATGAAAACTATTCATGCTTCTGAATGAGGCAATAGCACTTTTTTTTTAACGAGGTAAGAGAACAAAGATATGATCTAACAACAGAATTTTTAAATTATAAAAAGAAATAAAGAGGCTTGTTTGTGTATGTAATTTTAAATTTTCTATGATAGTAGAAATTTTTAAGTCTCTCAATAGCTTTTTGTCTTTCTCAAGCATGATAACATGAATTGTGCTACTGAAGGGGTTGTGGCAAAGAGCATTACCTTTGAAATCACATCCTGCATCTCATTTCTTGGATAAAACGTACCATCGTCATACCGAAATCTATATAACATCTGCTCTGGCTTGAATTGATGTTTATCAGTAACTAAGAACATATAGGAACAATATATTAAAATGGTGACAATCTAAAAGGTGGCAGAAAAAAAAATATATTCTCAAAACACATATTCCCAAATAGAGAAACTTTGATAAAAACTAATACACATGTATGTATAAATATATAGAGTATATTTATGTGAATATAGATAAACAAGCCTATGTTTTACATTTCTTCACAATAATACAAAACTGAACACAGAGTGACTTTCAAAGAGCAGATACTCATATTCAGAATTATGACTCGATTCTCAGTCTTGGACGTGAATGTTAGCATTTATCTGTCTTATCACACTCTGATAAGGCCAAGACCACACATACACCAATCTTGATCATTTATCTTGTATTCAGACCTCCAGAGTAGATTAAATAATTTCAATATGTTGCTGATTCAAAAAATTTAAGTTTTTACACTGAGAAATGCTTTTCTCACCAGTCACTTAAAATATTCTGTCTCAGTAGAAAATGAATGTGGTCTTCCTTCATTACCATCCTCAGGATAAGATTGTCGTATTCCTAAAATCTCCTGTTCCCAAGACCTGATGGTTTCACTGGCAAATTCTAACAAATATCTAAAGAATTAATGCAAATTATTCTCAAACTCTTCCAAAACATTGAATAGAAGAGAATATTTCCAAACTCATTTTACAAGAACAGACAAGGACATTGTAAGCAAATAAAATTATAAGCCACATTCTCAATGAACATAAACACAAAATTCCTCAAACTCTATCAAATCAAATTCAACAGGACATCAAGAATCATATGCTACCAATGAACCATCCAAAGAGAACTTAAGAAAACAATTATATTTATAACAGTATCCAAAAAATCAAGCACAATACTTGGGAAGATGAAGGAGATGAAAAGATCTGTATACTAAAAACTAGAAAACATGGATGAAAGAAATTGAAGACACCAATAAGTGCAAAGACACTGTATTCATAAATAGAAAAAATTATTTTAAATTCCACATTACCCAAAGAAACCTATGGTTTAACTATAACCCCTATTTAAAACTCCAAGGGTATATTTCATGGACATTAAAAAAAAAAAATCTACAGAATCACAAAAGACCCTGAGCAGCAAAAAAGAACAAAGCTGGATGTATCGCATTACCTGACCTCAAAACAAACTACAAAGCTACAGTAATCAAAAAATATCAAAGCACTGACATAAAAAGAGACAAAAAAAAAATCAATGGAATGAAATAAGATCTCAGAAAGAATCCTAAATATCTATAGTCAATTTATCTTCAAAAAAGTTACCAGGAACGCACAATAGGAAAAGACAGAGTAATGCCTTGAATTTTGAGAAAATGTCTGGGGGTAAAATGACCTGACTATGAGAACTGTAATCTGATCAGTTTGAATGGGCTGACTGGGAGTTAACTATAGGCAGGTAGGGCATGGCTGAAGGAGGTGGGTCACTGGGGCCATGCCCTGGAGGAGTTCTTCTCCTCGGCCCCTTCCCTCTTTCTCTGCTTTCTGACCTGGTCAGGAGAGAAGTAGTTTCCCTCCATCACACCCTTCTGCCGTGATGGGCTGTCTCACCTTGGGCCCAGAGCAACAGAGCTGGCCAACAGTGGACTAAGAACGCTGAACCATGAACCCCCCAAAACTATTCCTCTCTAAGTTGTTCTGGTCAGGCAATTTTGGTCACAGTAGTGAAAAACTGACTGAAACAAATTCTCTTTAAAAAGTTGTACTAGAAAAATTGTATATCTGCAAGCAGAAGAGTGAAAATGGATCCTTATTTCACACTATACACAAAACCAACTGAAAATGGATTAAAGATTTAAAGACCTGAAGCTGTAAAACTACCAGTAAAAAGATAAGTAATGAATGTAATACCAAAAGTGCATGCAATAAAAGCAAAAATCAATTAATGGGATTACATCAAACTAAAAAGCTTCTGCATAGCAAGTAAAATAATTAACAAAATGCAAAGGCAATATACGGAATGGGAAAAAAATATTTGCAAACTGCATATTCGATTAGTAGGCTAAATTCCAAGATATATTAAGGAACTCAACACCACACTACAAATACCCCATTGAAATATAGGAAAAGGATCTAAATAGGTAATTCTCAAAAGAAGAAATTCAGATAGCTAACAGATGCATGAAAAGGTGCTCAACATCTCCAGTCATCAGGGAGATGTAAATCGAAGCCACAATGATATCACCTCACATCTCTTAGGATGGCAAATATCAAAAAGACAAAATAAAAGTGTAGAGGAGGACTTGCAGAAAAGGGAACTATAGTACATTGTTAGTAAGAGTGTAAGTTAGTATAGCCATTATGGAAAACAGTAGGGAGGATCCTTCAGAAATTAAAAATAGAATCATGATGATCCTGCAATCTTACTTCTGGAAATATATCCAAAAGAACTGAAATCAGTATGCAAACAGATATCTGCATACCCATGTTCATTGAAGCATTACTCAGAACAGTCAAGATATGTAATCAACCTAAGTGTCCATCAATGGATAAACAGAGAAAATGTGACATAATGTATTATACACTTGAAAATTGCTTAGGGAATAGATGTTAAATGCTACCATCACAAAAAAAAAATAATAATAACTATGTGAGGGAATGGATATGTTCATTAACTAGATTGGTGATCATTTCATACTGTGTGTGTATATATATAAAAATATCATGTTGTACACCATAATTACATATAACTTTTATTTGCCAATTACACCTCAGTAAAGAATCCCATTAAATATTCCCATTAAGTTTTCTCTTTTCCAGGCTGCTATTTTATAGACACCAAAATTTTAAAAATCACTGTTTTAGAAAGTAAAACCTTAAAATAAGTTCAAAGGTTTATATTTTAAAAGTTCAAAGGTTTATATTTAAATATTTTCATTATGAGGAATACAACATTTGCAAAAGAAATAATGTGCTACAATAAGCTATAGGATGAGATAGAAGACTTTGGCTTTCTGCTAGAAACACTGAAAGAGGACAAAAAACTGTCAGAATTAATTCTCATTAACTACATTTGGTGAAACCAGTAGAATATTAAAACATAAGTTAGTAAACACACGCAGTGCACATGCATACGGGCACACATACACACTTTTATCCAGCCCACCAAAGTTTGTGGCATGCAGCAATAAAACTGAACCAAGATTGTTGCCACCCTCCAAACAACAATACAGCCTTTGGAATCTTTTTTCCTAGGATAAACTATAAAGAAAAAGACACATATGGGAAAATTAAAAATTAAGAGAAATATTTTGAAATTTTATACTATATTTCAAGATGGGTCATTTATTTCTCCTATGTCATCTAATCTCATTTTTGCCCCTTAATATTCATTGAAATCAATTATTCTCTAGATATTCCAAACCTCAAGGAAACATTGGGCCCAAATGTCCCTTGCCACAATAAAACAAGTGGTAGCTGAACTCATTGTTAAAGGGGGGTTCATCTGTAATGCAAATGCTTGTGACCCTGATAGTTCCAGCCCTGGACCACTCTGCCAATCTTAGCCACTGCCTTGGAAAAACACTGAAGACTTGGAAAAACACATTCAAATCCACTGCCCCAAATTATCTAGCAGGAAAAATTTATTAACTAAAAAAGAGTTTAGGCCATCTTGTTTAATGCAATCTTTACAACAATTTTCTGAGAGAACTAGAGAGATACAAGGAGGTAGAGGAAAGTGGGGGAGGAGGACCTCTGATTTGTAGCATATGCTAATTTCTGGGATATAAACAGTCTCATTCTGGGCAATTTCAAGCTACCAACTTACAGTTACTAACACATAGTTAATTATGAGTGTCCCACTGTTACAGCACATTTCCACCACACAAAAATAATAACTTCAAAAATAAATACCCTCAAGAATATAGGTAACAATAAAATGAAGTGAAATAATTAGGAAGTGTTTAACTTTCAAGAATGCATCACCTTTGCTTATAATATAACTTGTGTAAATGTTTATTTAGTTTTAACATTAATAATAATTGTTCTTAACAACCAACCAGCTTGCAAAATATTTTTAATTTAATTATCAGCTCTCAGGAGCTTGTATAAGCCAACTTTAGCACACTAGAGGATTTAACAAATGGATCTCTGAATTCTCACATAAGAATTTTACTATAAATTCTAGAGTCAAATAAGATGAATATTAACAGCATACAATGGAAAAAGCATATGCTACCTGAAAACAAGAACTCCTGTTCTAGCAAGGTATTGCTGCGGATGATATTCTCAACAATATTTGCAAAGGGAATGATAGCAATAACAGTCAATTTTTTTTTAACTTGCTCTCTTATAACAGATGGTTCATTCAACTTTATTTTAGGGATTCTATTTTCACTAAAATGCAGCTGGAACTACATACAAATGAATCTACCACATTTGCCTCATAACTTCCATCTAATAGAAGTTCTCTATTAATGTAAAATTGCTTCATATGTTCTTTTACCCCCAGTTTGCGGTAATCAGAGGCTTTAAAAAAATTTTCTCATGACAAAAATTCAGAATACCAAATGCAACATTACAACTGGTCAAATCCTGATAATAGTAAAAGCCCTGGCCACTAAAATCGAATTTTAACCAATGTTGCCTGTCGTGTATGAGGCCCTGGGTTCAATCTCTAGCATGCATAGATAGATAGATAGATATTAGATAGATAGATAGATAGATAGATAGATAGATAAATTATCTGTTTATTTATTTATTTTTAAAACATAGTACTGGACTGGGGATGTGGCTCAGCGGTAGAGCACTCTCCTAGCACATCCAAAACCCTGGGTTCAATCCTCACTACCACATAAAAACTAAATAAAATAAAGGCATTTTGTCCAACTACAACTAAAAAATAAAAACAAACAAACAACAACACACACAAAAAAATAGTACTATCTCTCTTCAAGAATTAATCATATTATAGATACCATTGCAGTTCTCATAATTTAGATACTTGAAGGGTTCTTGCATATGAAATTTCAAAATTAATTTTTATTCAAAATGATTTGATTTCAAAATGTATTATTTAAGAAAGTGGTGCCTGGGGTTGGAGGGATAATTTGATCAAGACTAAAATTTGTTCTAACTGTATTTTGTATTAACTTGTAATTAATTTACAACCTAAATAAACTGTAACAAATGGAACATACTCCAGTTAGAACTTGCCATCTCTTACTCCATAATCCCACAGCACCTACCCATATCATAACTCCTGCCTATGTGGTGGCTGTTCATTTTATGGTTAACAATGGTTTCACCATAAACCCACACTTCATAAACCCACATCATCATCAACCCACACTCACTATTCTACACACATTAGGTATTGAAAATGCTGAGGAAAATGATTAGTTTCCTATAATGTAGAAAATTATAAACTAAACTCATCGGTGGGATTAAGAGACAGGCAATTTGTAAATATATAAGTTAAATAAGTAATTAAATTTTAATAAAATAATCACCATGGTGAATGATTCCATTTTCTAATAATGCTTGTCCCAAGTGAACACCTTCTTCGGGTCTATGAATCTCTCCAATTTCCAACAACCACGACACAAATTCACTGCAACAGAAAGCCAATAATAAAAGTAGAACAGTTCATTTCCTCCCCCATACCCGTCCCGGAAATCTATCTGTACCATGCAGTCATGAAACAACTAAGAAAGGAGTCTCAAAGTATAAAGGGATACTGGCAATGCCATTTAGCAGATATTTTTTCACATGTAAGACCTGCAAGTCATAGAAGGTGGACTTTATTCTAGAAAACCTATGTCCACACATTGTGACTCTCCTAAACTATATTTAATAAACTATTCAAATTCTTGAGGTCTCTCATAAACCCAAAGTGAAAATCTTAGCGTAGCCGTAATTACAAGACTGCTGTCCACAAAAAGGCAAATGGTCATGTGCTATCCTTAAAAGAACATTAATTACACAGACATTTTATAAATAAAAATATTCTCATAGGCATTTTTTTTTAAAAAAACTAACATTTAAACTTTGACATACTAATGAATTTGTTTTAGACTTTTTAATTTTTTGTTGTTGTTGTTACACAGAGGCCAGAAAATCAAACCTACAGACAGCATCAGGAAACTATTTTCCATTTATTACTAAACCAAAGGCAACACAAAACACTTCAAATAATCTAGACATGAAATTCTAAAATGAATGGTCTAGTCTAAGAAATATACTTTAAGGCAGAAAAAGTTGTTAAAGTGTTCCAATTCACTTATTAAATAAGAACCATCCAAAAGAAAGACCACAAATTTTTTTAAAAAGGAAGGAATAGAAGAAATAAAAGAAAAAATAAAGATATGAGAGGGTAAAATAAACTACAATGGTTGAGATCATGTACTTTGCAATAGGACAAGCTGAATTTAAATCCTGTTTCTTCTACCAGCTATGTGATCTTGGGTTAGTCAATTAGCTCTCAGCCTCAAGAATATCAATGTGATGGTGCTGTCAAATTATTAAATGAGATGGTGCATGTCAGCACAGTTCCTGGCACACTGATAAGATAGTGCTTCTCAGTGACTGACAAGTAAGCTGAACGGTTGATATGCAGCTAACCTGTAATTCTCTATCCAAGTGTCACCAGATCCTGAAAATGTCAAATTCAAAGGTAAGAAAGAGCCCCTTTAAATATAAATTGGGAATATTGTTTTTATAAATGGGAGAGGAGGTCAGAAAGAAAGTTAAGGAGTGGCTTTATCATGGGACCTCCTCAGAACAAAGAAGATTCCAACAACACTCTGCTAAAGGATCATGGTCCACTCAGGAGAGATCTGTAACTTGGCTGCATTGGATTGCTGTCAGAGAAAAGCCATAGTTAACATTTCCTAAGCCTGTCCTGGGCATCAGGTGCTGAGAAATGCTTCACGTATCACCACAACTATTACCAGCAATACATCTATATGAGATCGTATGGGTTAAGGGTCAGCAAAATGCTTTCTCCTGCAATAAAACCAAATTTGATCTGGGCTAACTTTCTAGCTTTGTCCCCCTAGACACCTGCTCAACTGGTGAAGTTATAATGTCAGCACTGTTATGGTAAAAATGACTCCTAATGGTTCAATCTCATGCCTCTAAAGGAAAGTCATAATATGAAGTGACTGTCTTGCAAGAGGGCATATCCATTTGGGGACACTGGAAGTCATCACCCTTGGAGTTGTTACAAGAGACACTGTCCTTTTGCTGTACTGAGCTTCTATGTCAAGCTGATCCACATCTGTTCTGCTCTTTGCACTAGCGTTATCACCTGGAGGGATGACAACAGAGCATGGGAGTCAGGAGCTATGCCACAGGGGGCAGCTGTATGGCAGCTCTGAGGGCCATTCTCCCTGAAGAAGAAAGTCCAGGATGCTCTGTAGCAAGGGAGTTTCCTGGCCTACATACTCCTGAGTTGGGGGTTGGGGACAGATATGGCCTATGGTTGTTCTATATGTCCCCAAAGCTAGTTTAAAAGGCATGCTGTTGGGCACTGCAGGTAAGCTCTATAATCATCTCCGTGTTTCCAGAAGAAACAGAAACTTAACTTTCCCAAATCCCATTACTAGCTAATGACAGCACAAAGATTTGAACTGAAAAAGCAAGATAGCAGTCTGTGCTTTGAATTACTGTCTCGGTGTACTTTAATGGACTCAACATTGAGAAACTATATGAACTTGTTAAGATCCCTGATCCATAGTTTCTGCATCTTTAAAAAAGAATAAAGGCATTTAACTCCCAGGTATGTATTAGTCTATTGGAAATTAGAGAAAGAGGCAAGCACAGAGTCTAGCCTAAGGAGAGCTACTGAAGCAGATACCCTTCTCACTGCTTTTGCACTGATTAAACCAGAGAATTCACTTAGCACTGTCTGCAGAAAACAAATGAGACATCATCCATGGTGTCTGGCCCCTCACACGACTCACTAGTTTTGACTCTTTGTCTATTCCCCTTCCCCCTGAACCCAGCTGTCTAAATTCCAGATTGATTGTGAGTTTGAACTGTTTGCCTTTAGCTCTCCAGTATTCCCTCATCTGAATCCACCATCAACTCTGACTTTCAAGCCCTATGTGCATTTCCATGTCAGACCCATCATTCTGTCCCCTATAAACATATCAGCTTTCAGACCACTCCCTGCCTCCCCCCCGCCCCAACCTCCACTTCACACTCAGAACTTGGTAGATCAGATACTATTGAAGTTATAGATGAAGGGATGGATGCTTTAAGTTATCTAAAGGATCCTGGTTCTCTTTTCCATTCCCTCGTCTGGCCATGGCCCAGAAAATGTAGATCATAAAGAAGTATTCAAAAATGCTTAAGAAATATTTTTCAAAAAAGGAAAAAATAAGTAAAGTTAACATGTGAGAGGGTAAACATAAAGAAGTATATGTACCCAGGTTACCAATCCTACCTTCCAAGGAAGCATTTAGGGAACGTAGTCAATTTCCTTTTTCTGTCTTTGATCAGATTTCCTTGTTTGCACATCATTTTATAAAGTTTCTCACCCTGTTCAGAGATCATTACCCAGGTGTCTTGCTCCATTCCTAGTTTTAAACCTATCAAAAATGAGACAAAGGACATGTAATTGAAAACAATCTCTTCATTCATTAGCTTATGCCTTCATTAAAGAAGCATTTATTATGAGTCTACCATGGGCTGAAGGGTATGGATACAGAGCTCTTTAGATTGGGCATAGTTTTCAAGAATTTCATGATATGCTAGGTAGATAGTCAGGACAAGATTCCCAGAGCACAGAGCACCTTTGTTACAATCATACCCCAAAGGAACACAGTTTAGCCAGTGGAGTGAGAGCAACAGATAAGAGGAGCATTACCAGGCATGGTGGTCCTAGGCGTCCCTGTGAAGGGTAAAGTGTGATAAAATAAAGAAATATTCAGGGTACCACATCTCTACCTGGAAAATGTTAAGAAATCTTTCACAGGAGGGCCATATTTAAGAGCACCACTACAAATAGGTATTTCTACACAAAGTATTTGCAAAAGCTAACTAACGTCAAGCAACACAGAGGCCCTCGAGTCCTGGGTTTTAGGCAAGAAGGCAGGAGATGTGCTGGTGGGTTAGGGAGGGTGCTTATAGTTTCAACCTAGAAGAGGGGGAAACATCTGTGTTTTAGCTAGCAGGAAAGAAAAGGCTGTGTGTAGTGTAGGAAAGAAAGTTCTGTTGTTTGGGAAACAGAGCTCAGAGGACAACGTGGAGAACAAACTGAAGGGGGTTAGGATTTACAAAGTGGAAGAATGTTATATGACTTAAATCTGGAATGTCCCCCCCAAAGCACCATGTGTTCAAAGCATGTTCCCCAATGCAGCAAGGTGCAGGGATGGGAATTTTAGGAAAAGGCTGGATTATGACAGCTGTAACCTCATCAGTGGATTAACTCATTTGATGGGTTCATAATATGAATGAACTACTGGGTGGGGCTATAACTATAGGCAGGGGCCATGGCTGGAGGAAGTAGGTCATTGGGGTTGTTGCCCTCAAAGGCTACAAAATAAACTTTTTCTCTTCTTCAAGTTGTTCTTGTAGGGTATTTTGGTCATGGCAACAAAAAGCTGACTAATACAGAGACCATTTGGAGGAAACTGTGAAAGTTACTTAAAGTCCAAGACCCTGCAAACAATAAGGGTTCTAGGGCAAGAAAGATGAAATCGAGAAACAGATGGGGGGTAGTCATGATAGGTCACAGCAACTGATCAAATGTAGGTGTAAAGGAGAGAGAAGAAATCAGGATGTTCCAGAGCTCGATGAGAGGAAGTAAATGGGGATGCTTCTGGCCAGAGACATCCAAGCAATAAGGAGTCCATCAGTGCTCAAAGTGTTGAGTGGAATCTGGGGTCAACAGAATGCACAAGTATAGAGCCTGGGACAGAGGACGAAGGCTGGACATGAAGAATGGGAAACTGGCAGTATAATGTGAAAGTTAATCTACTGGGAATAGATAACCCAAGAAAGGAATCTATTTAGAAGCTAGTGCCAAAGATAAAATGTTGGAACAAGCAACACTTAGTCAGCACATAGGCCAGAGGAAGGACTGTTTCAAGAAATATTTCAATTATTTTTAGTCTTCTAAGCTACAAAAATTTCTACTAAAATTTAATTTTTTCCAGTACAGGAGCCTTTAACAATTACCAAAAATAATGAATAATACCACAGGATCAGAGCCTAACTTTGTACAATTTCCCTATTTTATAAAATGTGCTTTTTAATTTTTTTTCACTCTTTTGTTTTCAATATTTTATCTTGGGTATCTTAAGACAAAGTTTTTCTAGAAAAAAAATTTTAAGTTTCAACTTGATGAGAAATTCAGTTCTCCTTTTAATTTATTTGCTTTTCTACTTGAAAAATTGCTATACTGAACAAAATGGTAGATTCAACAAATCTTAGGAGTCAGTTAAGCATCTATAACTTTTAAATTTTTCTGTCAGATTCTTCATCCATGATCAATCAAAGGAATAAGGATTTCAAAATGCTTTGCAAATTCTTATACAGATGTATACTACAAATATTTAAAGTTGAAACTTTGTATATTCAAGGGGAAACACCTGAAGATAGAAGAAAGCTCTTTTGTCTTGAAATTTCATTACCAAGAGCAGTTTTGTTCCCAAATCTTAGGAAGGGTAATCAGCAGTGCCATGATTGCTAACAGTTAAGAAATCAATTGGTAAAGAAATACAAGTATTAATATTTCTGAGCTGAATTGCACATGTTTGCTTGTCAATAAGCTTCACACAAGTGAATATTTGCCAGGTCAAATATCTTTTAAAAATCTTTCTAAAAGCATGAAACAAATTTTACCTAGGACTCCTAATTGAACAAATTTTTTACTGGTTACATTCCCTAATATTCAATGACATGCTGAGAATATTTCAAGCATACACACACACGCACGCACGCACGCACACACACACCCTCCAAGGGATTTAATTTACAACTAGAAAGCTAACATATTTGATCAAAGGATTTTCATTATATTATTAAACATACAGAGAGGTCCTAAATATACAGAAAGATACTATGACACTACTACATATCTCTTTCTATACAGATAAAGTATTTATATCTATGTGCATTTTTTTTTAGATGCTGGCGATCAAACCCATGATCTCACACATGTTAGGCAAGTGCTCTAACACTCAGCTACATCCCCAGCCCTTACTATGATACATTAATGAAGTCTGGTTAAAGGAAGACTTTGTGTTCTGCATTGGAGGCAGCAAGAATAATGTGCCCAGTAACAGAACAACTGTTAAAATAAGTGAAACTAAAACATTGTCACTCATGTGAAACATTATCATCTATACTATAATTATATTGCTAACTTTATAAAAACTTTTCCTTTTAAGTATTTAACAATATTGTTAATTATTCAAAAATATTTCACGGTAGACCTTATATCACACAGCAAATCAAAGTGAATATTATTTGTCAGTCCACATTCTCATAACTTTTTCCAATTACCTGCTCTAGTGCCAAGTTACAATCTTCACACACACACACACAAAAAAAAAAAAAAATCACAGGGACTAATTCATACACTCACCTTTTCGTCGTTCTCTTTCTTTCAAAATAGCTTCAAACCACTCGTGCTTTTCTTCAGGTGTTTTTGCCATGCACACAAACCACTTATTTTTTGCTGTATTATGTATCTTCCAACCGTTAACAACAATGTGTCCGCTGCTATGGAAGTCAGCTGGAAATTAATGGGCAAAGGCCAATAAGCAAAATATAAAGTATAATATCATATCAACATGATCATTCAATTCATGAAAGTTTCAAGACCACAAAATTCTTCAAGATATTTTTGCTTTTGTATGAAGACTTAAAAAACTAAAGAAACAGCTATATGTTGGATGTAGTCAGTGCTCAATTATGCAACTTTCCTAACTCATAACATATTACATGAAATTAAGCACTACAAACTTATTAACATTCATTTGCTCTATGCCCAAAAATTTGATTTGCTTTGATTGTTAAAGTTTCTAAAGCAATAAAAGATTTCAGGAACAATTTATACCCACAGAAAAATACTCTATTATTTAATAAACAGCACGGGTAAGAATGAGAACAAATCAATAAAATACACAACAAGTGGATATACCAAAGCTGCCATAAAATGGGGAAACACAAATACCAAACCATTATCATGACACGTAGTTGAAACATATCCTTTGAAAACCACATTATCTCATATAATTCTCATGAATAAAGACTCACAAAATAATTTCCTTGAAGATGAGTGCACATCAAATTGTTTTTATTTGTTATGTTATCACAATTTTGTCTAAACTATGAAGATGGATTTGTGAATGTCCCCAGGAAGCCCTCTATGGCCGCTCTCTGACCAACAGGTAGATTACAGTGACAAAACTTGTAAGAAAACTTTACTGGCCAAGACAGTGCAGACCACTCTGAAACAAAGGTTCCAAGACAGAATAATGGAGTTCAGAGGGCTGTGTCAGCATCTGTAGCAACTGAAGTGACTGTTAGGTTTTAGATGTAGTGTCCTCCAAAAGCTCACATGTGAGACAATGCAAGAAGCTTTGGAGGAGAAATGACTGGATTATAGCCTCAGCCTAATCGGTGAGTTAATGATGGGATTAACTAAAGTGGTAAGGTGTGGCTAGAGGAAGTGGGAATTGGAGTGAGGCTTTGGTGCATATATTTGTATCTAGAGGGTGGAGTCTCTCCCTGCTTCTTGATCATCATGATGTGAGCTGCTTCTTTCTGCCACACACTCCTCCATGATGTTAACCTCATTTCAAGCTCAGAGAAACAGAGCCAGCCTTCTATGGACTGAGACCTCTGAATCCGTAAGCCCTCAAATAAACTTTTCCTCCTTACAGCTGTTCTAGTCAGATCCTTTAATCACAGCAGTGAAAAATCTGACTCAAACAGTGACCTTTTTCATTTGTCTCCGCTAAAATTTCTTGAGTAGCCATGGCCATAGACAAGAGGGAAGCCAGAAAAAGGTTAAAGGTGGCTTAGAGAATGACTCTATATAGCACTTACGCTGGCTTGGTGAGTCCTCTCTCAAATGATTGATTTTGCTAAGTAAGTTTTGAACAGAAGCAGAGGTTCTTGGCACTCAGTTTCTGATAATATGCTTCCCACAGTCTTTCATTCGTACCCAAATGTCACCACACATTACCTGCTCTTAGACTATTAATTCCCCAAATTCACTATCAAATGATGTTGTAGAGTTGTGGGTCTTTCAAACTCCCAGGTTACATTTGGTTTAGAATAGAATTATATCAGACATTATAATTTTTGTACTTTTCTTCTTCCTTTTACATATTTGATTCACGTTCACATTCTGTGCAAAGCAGCACAACCTCATAATGCATGTCAGTTTAAGTACTAATGGGCAGAGGGAAAATAAAAGTTATTTATTTCATAATTATACTCTGAACCCTCCTTAATAGCTACAAAAATAAACAAGTAAGAAATTATAATAAACTGGTAGAAAAAAATAGTTAAAAAAAATCAGATTATACATGTTAACAACCCCTCCGCCCAACCACAATTTGTTTCCCTGTAAGACCAGTATCCGTGATTAGCTAAGTGAACCTTGCACTGCACTTTAAAAGATCCCACATTTATTACCATTTAAGCAATAACTCTAGATGAAGAAAACCAAAGTAGCCACATGTAGCCTATGTACTAAACATTACACTTTATTGTGTTTTTTTTTTTTTGTGTGTGTGTATGTGTGTGTGTGTATTACTGGGAATTCAATCCAGTGGTGTTTAAACAGTTTAAACATGCAAAGTCTTTTTTTTTATTTTGAGACAAGGTCTCACTAAGTTGCCGAGGCTGGCTTTGAACTCACAATCCTCCAGCCCCAGCCTCCTCAGAAGCTGGAATTATAGGCATTACACTGGAATTACTGGAATTACACTGCACCTGCCTGGACTTACTTTAAAATCAGCACAACAAATTCCTCCCACAGAGCACAAGAGACAACTAGTTCACACACCAAAGTCATCCAGGTAATGCTCCTGACATGCACAGGTGTATGCCCTGGGCCTACCACCTCTTCCTTCCTTCCCCTCCTGGGTTACTCAAGTCACATCACTGCCCTCTTCTCACCCTGCTGGCTCTTACTTTACTATTTTTTTCATCATGCCACATTTAGCTCAAAAGGCTTTGGTGTCTTGCCACTGAATCAAGTCAAAATATGTAGATTTCTTCTATGCCTGAAGCTCAGCATTGATGGAAATATTAATCATTGTTCTTGAAATTTGCAGAACTGGAAACCAACTGGGAACTACTAGGATCAGGTAGGTATGCATCATATGGCACACCAACTGTGAAAAGGTGCCTACCATTCTGGCAATACCCACGAATTGTTGAAATAAACCACTCCTGAATTAGTTTCCCAGAAAGATGGACTTTGGGTAAGAAACTTCTATCTTCTTAACCAACTAGCTTTTCAGATAAAGTCTCCTTCCTTGACTATATATCTTATCTCCCATCTGGGCCATGAGCAGCAAGATGGATCCTGCAATATCCCTGCTCACTTAGCTGAGGACGTTTTCCACAATGTTGTAATATGTTCCCGCCACTCTAGTCTTATCTACTGCTTCCTGCTTGTCCTGTGACTACAGATGCTTTCTCTAGGATGGGGTTCTCATCAAGCCACCCCACTCTCCTCTGTTGCACAGATTCTTTCTTCTTTTAATGTGTGCACCCAACTCTTCCATGAAGAGAACCTGACTATTCAAGCCTGTGCAATCAAACTTTCTTGGAAATCATACAGCTGAACTCAGGACCAGACAAGCAGGCAAGAGACTGACTGCATGCAGCTACTGTTCCAATAGACAGAAAGCCAGGTAAATTAGTTGACAGCCAAATTTGTCTCAAATTACAGGATAAATGCTGCATTTAAAATATTTTGAAAGAATATCCTCTTTCATATTACAATTTTAAATTTTTAAAGTATACATGCTGACTTTTACTATGTCAATTTTTAAAATTATATGAAAATTTAAATATCTATATATACATAGTTACACACATACACATATGCAAACGATACACATATACGTATAACAGGACTCAAAATGTAGTCCACCTACTTCATAATGCTATCATAATTACGATTTATTTTATAAAATAAGTAGATGCTTCTTGTTTACTTCAAAAGATATAGTGATGTATGGGCTGAGTTTGTGGCTCAGTGGTAGAGTGTTCGCCTAGTACATGTGAAGCCCTGAGTTCAATCCTTAGCACCACATAAAAATAAATAAATAAAGGTATTGTGTCCAACTACAACTAAAAAATAAATATTAAAAAAGGATACAGTGATGTGTACAGCTTTATGATTTTAATCATAGCATATTTTTCAATATACTCAAAACAAGAACTAACCTTCTCTATAAAGAACACTCAAAGATTAAGGAAAAGCCCAACAGTGCTTTGTCCTTAGTAGGAATTTTTTTAAAAAAAATCATAATTAAATAATAAATATTTTCTCAAATGAAAAACAGATAAATTCACAAGCTTCAGTAGATCGAAAATATTAATTTTATAGAAAGTATCAAATTAAATGTTGAGTATCTCAGTTTGATAGTCTCTGATTTTTTCCAGAATCAGAAAAATCCAAGGGTCAGACCTGAACATGTCATTATTGCTCAAAGCTTCACAATTTGCAAATTCTCACACTTAATTCAACTCACTTTCATTTAATGAGATAAGGTTTATCCAAAACTGATATACTAGAAATCTCAGTGGACATGCGGGTACCCTGTCAATATTTTTGCATTAATTAGATAGATAATATCCAAGTATTATATACACTGAAAAAGATTAACAGAAAAAAATGTAAAAATATTCATTTAAAACAACAAGTAATTGGTGTCTACATTCTGGTAATCAACAGTGCAAATATATAAATTTCAAAAGTAAACCTTCAAAATTATGATTTACTCATAAGTAGAATGTATATTTAATGTTATATAACATATTTTTGTAATAATTCTTTGATTTTTATCAAATAATAGCAGACATTTTTCTAGCATGCAAAATAATACAGGACATTATTTACGGCAACAATAAATACATGAAAAAAAGATTCCAACTGACTTTTCATTATAATGCTAAAAAGTAGCTCAATCCTCAAACTTTTTGTATTTTTAAATAATTCCCTTAAATTAATAATGTTCAAATTTTAAGTGTATCAGAAGTAACTATTATGCTCTTCGTCCTCTTTTCAACATTGTAAATTTATTCTTATTTTTTAATTACAAATATATTTGATGTAGCATATGTACTAATGTTATAATTGCTGAGGTAATTTTGGTTTACTCAGTTAACCATTAGGCACCAATTTAAAACTATGCTTATTTGGCAATAAGACATAAAGTTTAAGAAAACAATCAGTAAGATAACACTTTAATGAAAAAGGACAAAAAATTACACAGCTCATGGTCTTACACAGTTTAAAACCTACACATAAAAAGAAAAATTGAAGAAAATATTTTTAAAATATCATTCAGAAACAATATTTAATTTTATATGCAATATGTCTAATATCTTAAACACAAGTTAAAAATGAAAAGTGGAATTTTTTCTTTAAAAAAAAAAAATCTTACTTTTAAAAAACATCTTAAGAATAAGAAAATGTCGAGGATAGTGACAAGATGGCGGAATAGAGGGGTTACTTCCACGGTGGCTCTCTGGTGTGAACCA